GAAATTAAGTCCCACAAATTAAATTATGAATTTATTAGTCAAGTGGCTAAAATCAACTTCCAAATATTTGAATGGTCAATAATTGTTTAAGTAATGTATGGAGCACAAGACGTCCTAACTTTTTCTGTTTATTTGGTTTTGGACTGTTGGTCTGACAGAAAATATACATAATAAACAATTAATTCATCTATTTTTGAATTAATCAATAAATAAAATAAATCAACAATGAGTCAGTTGCAGTTAATTAGCCACAGTAATAAATAAGACCTACTTTTATGTATGTACCTTGGAATATTGTTCTGTTCTATTCAGGGTCATGACCTTTAGTCATTCATTAGTGTTTGATCATTAGTGCTTCATCATTCATGCGTCATGTGCTTTATAAGGTCACTAGGCTCTGCAGGCTGAAGACAAAAGCATGTTTTCTCAATAACAAACATAATGATCAGTGAGCTTTGGAACTAGCTTCTAGGATGAAGCTATGTGGGGTAAAATATGAATATCAACTCTGAATAGAAGTCATTATTACATTGGCACCATGACAATGTATTATATAATAATTTTATACACTTTTCAGCTTCATTACGACGGTTGTAATTGCTACTGTCCTGTAAGTAATCTATAGAAATGGAATTGAAGACACATTAATGTGAACTCAAATCATACTGATGTCTTGGCCGTCGCTGGACCACTGTAATTTTCACCAGCACACTGAGTCAAAACATGATTTTGCTTAAAGATTATTATTAGTATTTCCTGATGTCATGGTGCAGATATTTCAACAATGGTTTGACTGTGAAAGTAAAACAACCAGGTCTTTCTACTTGTCTCCACAGTGATCGCAATCTTTCTTTTCCTTAGGGCGCACACACAGGTCATGCTGCCACGTGGTCACTTCAAAACAGATGTCGACCGCCCATATGCTTCCATCCTCAAAGCAGTTCCTGTGTGATCTTCTACATCAATGTAAGAGGCAGAACTGTGGTCCCCTGTGGCTCTTTTAAGGCCCCTGATTGTTGGTAAAGGCTTAATTGCTGGGTTTGAGTAATTTTCTCTAAATCAGATATTTTAGAAAGAAACACATGTTGGAAGGGTCGGTCTGAATAATAAGTCTAGAAATGCAATATACCATTTATATATTTTGTGATTGTACTATTATATACTTTGCAAAATGTATGTTCATAAATACAAGCATATTTCAAAGAGTATACACAATCAGGCAATTTGCAGTGCACAAATCACTACAATTTATTCTTGAAAAGGAAATCCTGGACATAATTGTGGTAAGAGGTTTCAGGCGATGTTTTCCTGCTTCCCCCTTTCTCTCCAGACACAGATTTGATCTGAAGGGCTGTGGTGTCTAGGGAACTAATTAAAAGCTCTTATGGCGGGTGTCCGTCTGAAACAACACAACTTGATATCAGTGTCAGGGTCGCAGATTAGTTTAAGGTCAACCTGACCCATCAACGACCCGGCTGAAACCAGAGCCACTAAACTGCAAACCAGCGAGATGCACACACGCACATATGTAAGAGGGCACCTCAGGGGAATGTGTACACACACACACACACACACACACACACACACACACACACACACACACACACACACACACACAGAGAGACAAGACAAGACCCCATCTACACTGATCCTCAAATGATCTCTTTAGATCTCTGTGAGGAGATGCAAATGCAGCTGAGTGTGTAGAAAACAGCTGAACAGATTCTCTCACTCACCGTTTCATCACAGTAAAATGTTATAATTTAAAGGGACAAAATGAGACAAACTAGTTGTTGATTAAGTACTTTTCTGCCTCCAATATTGTTTCACACCCCCTTATAAAACCTCATTCAAATTCATAGATCCAGATTTTTTTCCAGCAAGATCCATGTAATATTCTCTGAGATATCAATTTTAAAAACAACCTATCTAACAACAAAAGTGAAAAAGAATTCCTGGGTTTGCCCCTTGATCTGGATCCACACCAAAATGAAATGGATTCTTCCTGGGCCTATGTCGCATTCTTCCACCAACTTTCATGAAAATCAGTCAATTCATCTATTATTGTGTAATCTTGCTTACAAACCAACAATCCAACCCAAAAACAAATGGACAGGGGTGAAAAAAAAAATCCTACTGTATATAAAGAAAACACTTTTTCTATAAAGATTATTATGCACCGGCTCCCAGGTGTTTTTTTAACACACAGTGTGGTTGTCCATCATTAAACATACAGCTCTTTTTTTTTTTTTTATGGTGCACACTAAGCGATACACACTTGCACAGTTTCACGCCCACATGCACCCTGTGTGAAATCTGAGCCAGAAGGAGCCAGCCAAGTACGTTTGCATCCTTCATCCAAAACTGATTTACAAGTCAAAGCGCCAGAGCAAAAAATTATGTTTGCAACAAATCATGTGACACATCCAGGCCACTGCCAAATAACAAGAACCAGCCCTGAGCAGGTTATGCAACACCTATGAAGCTATAATTATCAATTTAAATGACTAACAAATGGTAAGGACTAAGGGTGGAGAGAGATGCTGTCAGGATAATGATCCCTCTCCATTTTGTAGTTCCATTATGTATCTGTGGAGAAATGTGTCCCTGAGGATGTCACTGCCTGTAAATGTAATGAGATTCTGGCACTTAAAGTGATGAAATTAACCCCTCGGTGAGATGGACAGCACTTTCACTGGTGCACGTCTGGTTCCATCCACCGCAGCTTTAATAAACTCTTTTTGCGTGCTTTAGATGCACTTTAGTATGAATGCATTTGGCAGTCTGACTGGAATAAGCCACTGAGTCACAATGTTTGATGATGTTTTACGATATTTTCGCACAAAGACGAGCAAAGTGTCACTTTAGACGTTTACTTTTTACTATGAGTTTGTTAACAGTTCTTTCAGCAATGGTGTAACGTAGTTGCATATTGTGACTGTGACTCTGGATGAGGAGGTTGGTGGTTCAATCCCCCAGCCCCTGATGGCTGTGCCGGTATTGTGTGTGTAGACAAGCCTTCTATAAAATACAGACCATTAACATTCACAAACTCCATATTTTACAACTGTTTCTGCACTACAACGATAAACTGACAATATGATTCAAAAGTATAGTTGTCAGCTCTGGTGTGAAAATGCTATGTGTCACTTCTCCATAAGGAGGCAGAGTCTGTCAACAACAAGCGCATGTGATAGTGCTCTGACACTGAGTGGAAAATTGAACAATAACACGTGAAGGATAATGATCCAAAGTTGTTTTAAACACTTGACTGAAGTGCTGAAATTCAGGGATTCCCTTACCTGCATCTCCTGTTCGATACGCAGCCTCTCATGACCCAGTTCCTCCTGATAGAACTGTGAAAAACAGAAGACAGATGATAAGCCCACTGCACATACTAACTTAAGAATAGAAAAAAATCAATAATATTCAACCTCATGATTCATGGAGGAAGAGAATGCACAGAGAAACAGGAAAGTGACCAAATAAACCTGCACTAATATATTAAATGAGCTCTTAACAGATGACCTCATGATCTTTAACTGGTGTGTGAGTGTGTGAGAATGCATGTGCATACATCAGTGTCTGTGTTTATTTACGTAGTGGTTTGGGCGTGTAAACTGCTCTTATGACCCACATGAATAGTTGTTAAAATAAGGCGGAGGAATGTCACATCTGCTGCTTCAGGAGCCTCTTTCTAGAATAGAAGCCATACCAGAAAAAACATGGTGGTCCAGAGGAATGCAGCAAGAATAGAGGGGCGGGGTACATTTTAAAGGCTTTTGCTGTCATACTTCACATACATGAGGAAGGAATAGCTCATAGAAAGACAATTACTTATTTACATTTAAAAGTTTTTCACAGGTTACAAAAAGAGTGGGGCAAAGATTGAAAACCCCTTCGCTTGTAAGTTGTCGTTGAAGGGAGCTTTTATACCTCTACGTCCTTGTCCTTCTGCAGCAGAGATGACGACAGCTCCTGAACTTGTCCCTCCAGCTCTCCCACTCTGAGTGTGAGTGTCGTCTTCTCTCCGCTCAGTTCTGTGATGACAGCCTCTTTGGAGCGAAGCTCTTTGGTCAGCTCCTCTATTAACCTGCACACACAGAGGCAAGGTCAGTCAGTAACACCTGCTGTCCACAAGTGCCTCGGACATTTGCATTCTTATATACAGTCCCTCTGTACCTGTCTTTGCTGGTGTTGAATGGGGACAGGACGCTTGGAGGCCTCTCATCCTCTGGGATGTCCTCCATGGGGATGTCTAGGGAGAGGAGAGAGGCGTGGGAGTGTGATCCAGCCAGCGAGACCATCCGCTCGGCCTCGCTGCGTGCCAGCTGGGCCTCCTGGAAACACACAGAGATGGAAACTGTTATGATCTCTACTTCTGAGGCACTTTTGAGTTTTCTTAAAAAGCAGAAGGAAGAAGACCGACCTCCTGCAGGAGCTGGATCTTGGTCTCGAGCACTTGCTGCATGTGGTCGATTTCCTGCTGCCTCTCCTGACACCGTCTCTGCAGCTCTGCCTCATTGTGATTGGTTAAGCTCTCTGCTGTCGTGCTGTCCAAGAGAAATCAGACTCAATCACCACATCTGTCAGCTATCAGACTCAACACAGCCCAAATGTACTCGTACAGATGTTGTCAGAGGGTCAGCGTTATGACACGGTGGAGACAGTAGTGAGGAACAAAGGAATAATATGATGTCATCACTTTCCTGTCTGTAACGGTGCTCATGGGAACTCATTTCCACTGAAGAGCACAGATTGATTGTGTCTCTCCCATGGTACAAGACTTTCATTGTCATAAAAACCATCTCACAGAAGTGATGTTCACATTGTCTACAGCAGTGGATTCAATTGGGGTCTTTTTTCCTTTTGTGTTTGTCCAGTTGTGTTAGTGAAGTGTTTATGTATTTGTGTGGTAAAATAATTAACTGAAACACATTTTGAAAGCATGCAACATAAATATTTTACATGTAGAAACATCCCGTTCCTTTGTGTTCTCCCACAACCTCATTATATGGCTCATGACGAAGTGTCCCCCACACTCCTTTAGTATCCAACTGTGCAAGCATCTGTCTATATCACTTAGTCAGTCAACAACCCTATCCCAGAATTCCTTCTCCCAGAATGGCACACGCCACTCTGTCGCCATTGAGTCTCGTTCTGGATGCTCTCTACATACGTTTTTAACTCTGTCCACCACATGCAACAGCTCGAATAACTGAGATATTTTGAACCAGTCTGAGTAATGCAAATGTCTGTCTCTTGGACAAGTGTCCTTTATTTGTAGTGGACAAGCTTAAACACCACCCATTCTGTAAGACGTTAGAAGATTCAGTAACGTCACATACATGTGTGCATATAAATAGTTCAAACTACCAGGAAAGCAGCAGGACTTAAATCCAAGAATATGTTGAATAAGAATAAGTCAATTTTAGAGTAAAAAACTTCCAATATCAATATATTAGCTGATATTTTACAGTTTAACCATAAAATGTTTTACGAATTATCATAAATAAAAAGTAAACACAAATCAAACCAAATATATTGAACTTGACTTGAGAAAATAACCATATCTGTATTATATTGTATTGTAAAAAGTAAAAATGCACCTTTTCTGCATTGTTCATTCTGTAGAATAAACCTTTTCATACCAGCAAACATAAACAGTAGGTAATAGCGGCAAACCAATATTGGTAAGGCTCTGCTCCAAGCACAGAAGCAAATCCTCCGTGTTTATTTTGGGCTGAATTGGTCATGGTTCCCAACAGTGGTGGTCAACAAATAACCACACCAAACAATATCTAATATAGAATTAAAATATAAAGTAGAAACACTGTCACCAGCAGCATAGCAGAGATTCATATTATAATAACCAGCTTCATTGTCACAATCATCTTTGCTCTCATCAAACAGCTTTTCAAATCATGTAACTTCCAATCAGAGTAAAGGATGAGCAGAGAGGGAGCAACAACAGCAGCTAAAATAGAAACAGGTAATAAGAACCAGAGTGGGTTTTGTAAGAGCACCAACAGCTGCCAAATGACGATGATGATGATGAATTTAAAGGTCAACAACCTCGACCTTTAAGTTGCATCTCTGACAATTTCAGGAGTAGAAAGATTTTCTCTCTTTAATGTCAAATTAAAGTAGTGCAGGCCCCAACAATCAAGAAGTCAAAGTCCACTCACGGGACAGAGACGCTCTGCTGATTGCTTTTTAATACAACACTAACGAAACAGAAAAACACTTTGATCAGCTGCTACATGACATATGAAGACACAAGAATCCCAACTAATCTCTGGTGAGTTCACAACCACACATAAAAACACAAAGATCTGACACTAATGAAAATCAGTTTCATCATCATCTTAATCCACTGAAGCATCTTTATATCTGGCAACTGTGAAACCACACAATTAAACAAAGTCAATGTGGCCAACACATGAAAATGATGCACTGATGTTTCATGAGCTGTGGCTGGTCAGTCGACATCAGCCAGGCTGGAGAGACCTTCGAAGTTTTGATGCCATACAAAATCTTAATTCAAGGGTTGAAGCAGTACAACAATAATGATTATTATTCATGGACTTACAGGGCTTTGTCCAGAAGCTGCTGTTTCTCTTGGAGCTCCTGCTTCAAGCTCTCTACTTCCACCTTCAGCTCGATGTTCTGCAACAGGAGAAAAACAGCGTCATTCAATCAATCAATCAGTCAATCAATCAATCAATCAATCAGTCACATAGTTTGTGACCAGCTGAGCTATAAATAAACATCTTTGCACTCCACACCAGCCGAACCGGGATCGAACTAGGACTTATCACTGCTCCACCATGCCCCCTGGACTCAATGAGCCTTAAAGCACAGCTTGTTATATATTGTAGTGACAAAAAGAGCCTAGGTGGTTTAATCAATTTCAGGATCATTGTGTATGTATATAAGGAATATAATATATACTTGAGTAAAGATTCTATACACCAAAAAGACGACAGATTCTGGGAGATTCAAAACAGTTTTGAACAGTTTCTATGTTTACTGGGATTTGTCTGAATGTCTCTCCTCCCGACATGTCACGTTCTCACTTCGTCTCCTCAGTCACATCTCTCCATCACGGCCTCCATCTCTGCTGAGTGAATCACTGCTGGTGGGTGTTGTGTATCAGAAGTGCGGAGCATCTGACTGAGCTGTCACGACTGTTATATTTAGAGCTGGAGAATTCAGGGAAGCTCAGATACTTACCACTGGGGCCAAAGGCTAAACTCTGCAGTTTGTTTACCTGCTGGACTCCACATGGGACGTTTTAGGGCCAATCAGGGATCTTAAACTGGGCTAGAGGACAGATGGGATTGGTGGAGCTCATTCTTTCCATTCTGACCTCAGGACAGGAGTGAGGACAGTTTATCTGTGTGTCTGATGGATGAGATGATTGCTCTCATTGGTTTTACAACCTTTAACTCTGCAGATTGTCTCACGCTCATTTCAACAGAATAAGCCGCCCTGTATTTTCCTCTCTCTTTCCTGTCCTGCCTCGTCCTCCCTCTATTTCTGTGTTCTTTGCCTCTTCGTGCATGTCAGAGTCTGATGACCTTCCCCCGTCCCTGCCAGGGAGGTTTACTTGTGTCGATAACACTCTCAGAGAGCTGGGGCGACACGTGTACCGACACTAGTAGACTGAAATCTACCCTTAAACAAATTGCTGAAATCCATGACGACCGCTCAACACAACACAGCACACACCATCACACGTGCACATTTATCATGTACATGTGACCAGAGGACACAGAGGTTGTGTTGTTTCAAAATATTTGTAAGTAGGTATATGATTTTACTTTTATTTTGAGGCATGAGAAAATAACTACATGTTTTTTCAGATAGCCAAAAATCAGGACAATTCAATAATAGGCTTATAGGCAACTTTACATCAGTACATTTTTCAAGGTTTAACAATTAATCAACAATTCACTGGTTGCAGCTTCTTCATTATGAGGACTCATTCTCTGTTGCTCTGGAAAACTGGATGATGGACATTTCTCACAGTTCTCTGCAGTTATTTACAGTAAGAAAAAATAATAACATAAGTTAATTCTAAGTCACATGGAGGTGGGTTTTGTTTGGTAAAACAGATAAACATGGAATAATTGATCACAATACTTGAGTGTGTTTTTTTGGGTTACTTGTATTAGATCAAGACTCATTGATTCCCTGATTATTTCAATCATAATGTTACTCAGAACAATTATTCTCGTAAAAGTGATCGCTGCAGGAGCAACAACAACTAAAGCAACATATGACCAAGCATTATGCTCATAGCTAATTATAGCACATGATTTGCCTAAATTCTCTCACGATAAATAATGTACCACACGCATGAGACAGGAACAAGTAATCCCGTGTGTGTTTCAACATGGTTTACAGTAAGAGACACAGTTTCCCATCTTGCAAACAGCTCTAAATATAGACACCCATCACAGCGCACCTGCTATTCTGGCCCCTCCTGGCCTGTAGGCCCTCAGCAACAGATTCACTTATAACCATTCAGAGAAGGAAGAGGGAGAGAGATGGCTTCACACACCTACACTGCTACAATGACTTATCACCCACTGACAGGTTCACATCTAATGATGACCCTGCTCCTTCTGTTTTAATCCATAACAAAGGGTTACATCCGTGTTTATTTAAAACTAACTGAGGGACAACAGTGTCATTTTCAAAGCAACATAAGCAAACGTCCACTTCACAAATGTGTACCTTTGGATTTTGAACTGGTAAACTTCTGACTTTTTTGTTTTTTTTGACATTTTAAAGATTGAACGATCAGAAAAATAATCAACAGACAATTCTGATAAAAACAATCATCAGCTACAACCCTAAAATCAGCTAATTATGCTCTACAATTCTTTAAGCCCCAGATGCTAATTATAGCCACGTTTCAACTAAAGGTATCCAAAACCTTTAGTCCCAGACCATTGTTCACTTGTGTGTGTATATAATTCATAACAAATATACTGTGCCTAAATTATAAAGTATATAATCTACTGACATGACTGAAAATAAATGCTCTATAAAATACAGTGATATAATCGACCACATAGTGAAGAGAGATACATAAACACACACCTCCACATGTAACAAAGTGTGTCTCCTGACATGTTGACCCTCACATGAATACAGGAGATAAATAAATCAGTGTACTCAAGCCTGTTCCATAAATAGACTCTGTCAAGCTATGGGAGGATCACTATGTGCCCGAGTAGCTCAGGTCTGATAACACCACAGTGCAAAAAATTTGATCTCCAATCAAAACCGTGATTAGTCTGATTAACCTTCAGCCACACAGAGAATCAGCTTGTCGAGCACAAGGATTAAAGTCCAGTTCTGTGGCTGTGTGAGGTGCGATCAGTTTACTCAGTGTGTGCTGGTGTGAAGCACGCAGGTCCCGCTCAGCTGGCTCAAGCAGCCATTTAATTTTCAAAGAGTTGCTGATCATCATGAGGGATTTGGAATGAAGCGAGGGAGAAAGGGAGGTTTAAATGTCGACTGGTTCGTGCAAACAGACACCAGCTGAGCGGGGTCACCTTATTGTGGGAGCATGTAATACACACACACATGCAGAGGAACACAGGAGAACACACTCATCAGTTATGCAGCCTGGTCAACTCGGGAATGTTGCACATTTATTCCAATGTTCTGTTTAAAATGTACGGACATGGAATTGCTGTTTTTTTTAAATCACATGTCAGCATGTTTGGTTCAGTGTAAACAAGTAAAGGCGGCACAGAAGGATTATCTTAATGGCAACATAGAGGGAACTGTATAAAAACACAGTACAATTCATGCACATGAATGGTGTAGCATGTTTCCCTATTTCATTTTCCTTTGTTTATGTTATAATTAGTTGCAGAAAATGTCAAACAGCCCATAATAAGTCCCCAGAGCTCAAAGTGATATTTCACTTTAAGTTCCCTTTTTTGATCATCGGTCCAAAGCTCAATGATGATCAACAGTAGAGAACAGAAAAAAGCAAATACTTGGACTGAGACAATACATGTATGGTAAATTTGGTTATTTTGCCAAATAGTACTAATAGTAATAAAGTATAAGTACTACATATTGTGATATCTGACCTTTGCTATTAACAAATATAATTTTCGAAGCTCAAATTGTGATGTCAGCTCTCTGTATTATGACAGATTTTTTTGAAGGGCAACCCTAAGGTATGAAAACTACTTTATGAGGTCATCTGAGGCAATAACTTACTCTGAGGAGCACAAATGTTTATATTTCAAGTCCTTAGATATTGATCACAAATACTCATACAAGAGCTTCGAAGGAAATACAATTTAAAATCATTTCAATGCTTCAACTCAGGTTATCTTGCTTAGTATTGATCCAAATAATGATCTGTACACATGGTGTAGGACCAGAATTACCTTTAAATAAGGTAACATGAGGCCAAATGTGCCAACATATGAATGAACAAGGAATACGTGCGGTCAGTATCAGCAATAATATGGTGTATATGTTTGGTATGAGTGTAGAAAAACAACTGAGAAAACGATACTGTTCAGACAATATACAGTAAAGCACNACACACACACACACACACACACACACACACAGACTTAGAGCTCCTGAACAAACTGCTAGTTAATGTGTAGTCCTTCACTGGGAGGCCACAACTAAAAACAAGCACTTGGTCAAACACACACATGGCAGGTCACATCACTCAGGTCAGTGCAGCAGCTGGGTCAACAAGCAGTGGAAGTGGCTCAGTGCCTCTGTAGGACTGCCATGATTCAAATGATCTCAGATAATAAAGGCACAGCTCAGCTCTTTCATTTACCTGCTTAATTCCAAACTGATCATCAAAGTTAAAATCAACTGATCATTGTGTGGTTCTCTTGTTCTCTGATGAGCAACCGGTCACAGCCCCATTCATCCCCATTCAAACAGGTTCCCATTCATTTCCTTCCTACTCACCGTGCGGTAGACATCCTCACTGCTCTCCTCGAACTTCTGCTGGATCCTCTCCTCCAGGAAGTAGATGCGGAGCTTGAGGCTGAAGTTCTCCTTCTTCAGGTCATTTAGGTGCTGTGACAAAGTACGGTAACAGTTAGACATGACTGTCAGAGAGCACCGACACCGCTTGACATGTCCGTTATAGGTAAGAAATAATCGGCCGTCTTTGACTCCTCTGTATTGTGTGGGAATACAGAGTCCATGTTAAAGGACAGCCACTGTCCCGGCATGTCCTTTCGTTAGAGTCCGGTAACCGTTAGACATGCTACCTCCTTCTCCAGAGCATAGTGCTGTGAGTGAAAAACGCCAAATATTTACAAAGCAGCATCCCGGCCTGTAACAGGCCACCGGGATACCATCTACAAAACCACACACACACACACACACACACACACACACACACACACTACAGTCTAATAGGCAGAGGGCTACTCTGCAGCCCGGGCGGTCAGAGATGCAGCCATGTCAGCTCCATGGTGTGATCTGGTCTACTAGGGGACCGGACAGGGACTTATTTTACTAGAGGAGACATCCCAGGAATCCCAGACTGCAGAGGGAGAAGGGTGGAAGGGGAGGAGGGGAAGGAGGGGGCAGGGAGGGAGCAGGAGGGGAGGTAAAAGGCTCAGGGCTCACAGGCCCTTGTGATATGAAGGCAAATCTCACCCCTCTGCAAAACAGAATCGTTGAGAGGAAAAGACACAGAGTGAAGAGGAGGGGGTGAAATCTGAGTCCATTTGGGATCTTTTCATTTCATCTGCTTCCTCTCAGATCGTGTATATGCTCAAGGTGAATCTCAAACCCTTCTCAATATTGCATATAGTCTGGAGGTCGTCCCATATTAAGAGAACAGCTGACAGTCTGTCCACACCAGCCTCCATGTTATATAACCACAACACTGACTCACCTCTGTTTAGCCTCTGCTCAATTTGCGAAATATCAGTCTGACTAATATTAGTTTTATTTAGTTTTTTAAGCACATTGAGCAACTGTCTTTTGTAATAACTCACTGGGGGATGCCAATACACTTTACTTTATTTTCAGAAAACACTAAATATAGAAAACATATCACTTTTGAAATGAAAAAAATGCCAACTCTTGAGTCAAATGAGGATGTCTCGCATAAAAATGTGTGGAGACAAACCAGCAGAAAAATCAACCAATCAACAAAATGAGGTGTTTTTGTCACTTATAACCAATTGTTTTGGTATTAAAGCTCAGATATTTAGAAAAAAAGGACTGAAATGTTCATGACCTGCCCAGTCACACCCTGAATTTATCACATGTCTATGATAGATAGACGGTTATCAGAAACTCCCCTCACATGGACAAACCAGTATGGGAAAGTACAGTCAGAGGGGCTGATGGGAGTGGGACCGACAGGTGAGCTGGAAGAAGTTGGATGAAATAGGAGACCTGGAGCACTGAGCCAAAGTTCTATTAATAGTGAGGTGCCCTGGATCTCACCTAGCAGTGAATCCCTGCATGTTCCTCAGAGATGAGTGAACAGCAGAAAAGAAACAAAAAGGAAGACAGGCTCCTCCAAGTCTTGTTTAAATCTCATAATAAAAGCAACAGCAGTGGTTAAAATCAAAATCAAGTTTCATGTGCAATGCAAAAGAAAAGTCTAAAAAAACGAGACATGTTCCCATGTTCCCGACAAATGAGGTTACGTCATTATTAGTTCTTGATGCATTCAGTGAGTGTGTCCATTAAAGTGTCACGTTACGTCCTGTTGCTAAATAATTCAGAGGAAAAAATAGGCGAGGCGCCAAGCGGAGTCTCCACACAACATTAGGGATTACATCATGCTCATAGCGTGTGTTTTTAACCTGCTCCACACATCCACATTCTCTCACAGTCACTTTTCAGACTCATTAAATAGTGAATGTGTGTAAATAAGTATGTGTGTAAGTTCATGTCAGGTGTAAAATAGTGACACATCCGAGATCTGGCAGAGAGAAACTCCAGCGTTCAGAAAGTAAGTTCAGATTTCATGACTGGAGGTTTTAATGCTTGGCTTGTGTTTTAATCAGATCTGGTATTTGTCTGAAACATCAACAGGTTTTGAAGCACAGCACTGAGGTGTGTATTGTAGGGATTAAAGCAAAAGAAGATGTTATGAATAAAGGGAGTATGAACTGCTTAGGTTGGTTGGGATTGACGATATGTTGATTACACTGCTGCATATTACTTTTGCATTAATCTAGAGCATTAATGCACGTTCACTTTGATTGGCCAGCGAGCTCAGTCTCACCTCCTACAAGACTTGAATGAAACACACTGTTAAAACCTTAATGGACCATCCGACCCATTCGGAGACCCACTGGGATTTATTCCCAATATTCCTGACGGCCATTACACCATTGCATGTACACTTAAATGAGCTTGTTGTTAAGAGCAGGCAGGAACTGCTGTGCCTTTTAAATGTGCCTGCTTTTTTCCCCTGTGTGTAGCTACATGCCCTCAGACTACAGGATTATATGCAGTTGGTTCATGTTTACCTTTTTAATAGACTTTTCTAACAGCCGTCAGGGCGCCCCCCACCCTTCACTTTTTATCCCTTCATACTCTGATCTCATACAAGACCTCTCTGGATTCCAACGGAGGAGAACTTTAACCCCTGCTACTGAAGAAAAGTGTGTTTGATTTGAGGAATCAATGTAACACTGTGTTAACACAGTCTGGCTATTTCATAAGATCTTCAGCCACGCTTGTCTGACGGCACTATTTCACAAAGAGTGTAGACACTACTATTGAGTCCACTGCATGAGGGCACTCATGGACAGTGGATTCAGAAACAAGGGAGAAGGTTATGAGTGAATGTTGCAAGAAGCTAAATTCATTGTGGAGTTGCTACACAGCACAGGGTGAATAGATAATATTACTCTAGGAAAATAAGCTATATTATTATGTTATGTAGTTGTGTCATCTAACTCCCTCTAAAAAAGCAATCTACATATCATAACTATTATCTATTTATCTTATTCACATATTGTTAAAAAACTATTTTACACACATCATGTCTTCAACTGATGTTGTGTGCATGCCAAACCAATAGGTGGCGATAACTAACTCTAAAGACAAATTGGACAGTGAGAAGAGTCAGGGTCTGTGAAATGGGAATAATTATAATAATAATAAGTGTAATTGTATAACACTTATCTAAACAAGGTTACAAAGTGCTTCACAAAAATCCATGGCAAAAATCAAAAGTATTCAATTCAGTTTAATTTTAAAAGCCAATTTAAGCGAATACAGCTCTGTACCACTTTAGTGGACAAGTGATATGTAAACATGTAAGTCCTGTTAACAGAGTAAAACCAATACTAATTTAGCAAAGTCTGCCATCACACAAAATCCACAAACCCACATGTAAACATTTGAGATAATGTGCACTCTTTGACCTCATATGACAAGAACACAAATGTCCCTGCCTGCACACCCACACTGAAATCAGTTTCCTCCGTGTCTTCACACTGAAAGGGGTTTTGCAAAAAGTCCAAAATACATTACATTATACTCATTAACATTAAACATTATATTGACATAGTATTTTTGTAAAATATAACTGGTAGGATGTAAAGTAATAGTGCAGCAAAGACTGATGAAAAATCCTAAAGTAGGCCATGCTGTAGCCGGAGGCTTATTTTATCCATCAGGAGGGTTCTGGGTGTTTTCCATCCAAATCCTCAGTTATAGGTGTTCTCCTTTTCTGCACAGTATTTTAAAGACATATGCTGTGTGTGATTTGTTCAGGTTGTCTATGCATTACTGGCTATTTCTATGATCTGATCCCACAGAGACTTCTGCATCAAAGCAAACCACATCCTGAAGTAAAACATGGATCCACAAGATGGCCCTGTAGAGCACATTATCAGACTCGACCACAGTGTCATTATTCATGCAAGAGGACATGATATTCACATCAAGCTCCATGATCATTTGAAAAAAAAGCTCTCACCTGCTCAAACTGCTTGAGAGTGTGAAGCTGGAGAGGAAGAGAGTTGTCTGTTTCATCACTGCACAAATCTTAACAGAGAAAAATAAGAAATCAAAGAATTAGTCATTTGAGTAGTTTGTACAATTTCTCACAGGCGTAGTAGTTTTTTATTAAAGTAGAGAATTGTACCTGTCATGTGACCTGTGATCTTGGATGAAGTATCCTCCTCCACAGCACTGGCGAGAAACAAAACACGGAAACGTCAGCACGATTGACACACACACACACATAACACATGATAGAGAGAAATAAAGGGACAAAACCTCTTCAGCTGTATATCCATTACAACTCTTACAGAGGTGTGACTATCATGCAGAATAACAAGTTAACTGTCTTTTTTGTAATCCTTAAAGCAGAGATCCATTCTAGAAATGAAAAAGCCACTAAAATCCTTTGACTTAAATAATAGTGCAATTTAATTTGCATCTGTGTAGGAGAGTAGGGGGTCATCAGGGAGTCCCAGCAGGGGAGAGGAGAGTTTTTGCAGCAGTGGGGGTGCTGAGGGTCGGAGTTCAACTGGGCTCTTTCAGTATAGGCTGCTAGGTTATCTGTCCAAACTGTTTTGCGATCAGTGGAATCACTCATCCCTTAATCTGGTAGAAATGATTTGATTAGATAGTATTCAAACACATAACCTATGTATACCCAACATAACCTAGTGCTCAGGCTCACTGTTTGGATGTCAGTACTGGCCTATACGTCTTTTTATACAGTGCTGCATGAGTGCTCCTCATTCCTAACCGTGAATTCCTCTGACAGCTGCCGGGTTACACATTGTAAAGACAGTTGCTGCATGCCAGAGGTTTCAAAATTCACCAGGTGTGTGTGTGTGTGTGTGTGTGTGTGTGNTGTGTGTGTGTGTGTGTGTGTGTGTGTGTGTGTGGTGGGCCGGGTATCAAATCTATGTTTCACTACTTTTTTTAAGCAAATTTCAGTGTTACTGTAAAGGTTCTTGTGGGATTTAGTGATGTAATAACCTAGCCTACATATTAGCCTCCACATTGCACTGCATGGAGATTATGAACCATTGCAAAGTTATTATTATACAGGATCTGAAAAATGAATGATGATGAAAGGCTAACAAAACATTTTTATTGATTGAAAGTTGTGCTTTTATTTCATTTTACGCTCTTCCTAACCTCATTGTATAAAGTATTATTTAGTTAATACATCTGTGCCAGTTATATGAAGTGTCTCATGGGCCATATTGCCCTCATGCACATTTGGATCCTCTAAATAATTCCTACTGTACCACGCCAATGTTCTTTAGTGCAAAGTAGGCCACAATTAGCCTGATGAAAAATCCTCCTTTTCATACACATGCCAGCAGTTAATAAATCTTACTATGAAGGTATTTGGGTAAAGATGCAGACATCCGGTGCAATACGACAGTCAAAGTCGAACAATGTAATCGCTAGTGGCCTCAATAGCTTGCACTGATCTATAAATCATGCAGATGGATGCTGTATTGATGCAGCCTGGTGCAGGAGAAAGGCCTTTATTAGCTGAACCTCTGCTCTCTATAAGAAACTGGCGTAAATAACAGAATAAAGCGACATTTTGAGAGGAGACAGTGCGTTAAGGAGCCCAAACCTCGGCTCATATGTTTTGTTATAATGCCCCATGAGCGCCAGTGTTCCGCCGCGCACACGCTCCGCTCTGCGCCGCCTCACCTCTCACTCTGTCCCCAGGTTTGCTCCGGTGATGATGAGCTCCAATCCATGGAGGCTACTCCTGCAGACAATGGGCATCCATGCCGGTTAGCCTCCTTCGAATCAGCCGTGCATCAGTCATCTCTTAGAGGTAAATACAAGCATCTAGAAGGGGGGTGACATCCGCGAGGCACATCCGCTCAGGTTTGGAGAGAGAGAGAGAGAGAG